TGTAAGGAATGGAGATAAACAGTCAGGAAAGCTTAGGATACACCGTGGAAGTCCAGCTAGCCCGCCATCTTTGATAATTTTCTTCTGGATTATCAGGTTTGAACAGACAACTGAATGTTTAACTTCAAGGTTCCAAAGTAGACCTTCCTTCCATGACAGATACACTGTCCCTATCAGCGGCACTGGCACTGAGGAAAAGATATATTCCAGATTGAAGAACAAGCTTTAAAATCTTGAGGGCAGAATGAGCCCAGGACTGACCCAGTTCTAGACAAGGCTGGTCATGTTAATGGAGATGGGAAAGGCCAGGTGCTCTCAAACCACTGAGAGCACTGCATTAGGACACAAGGACTCTGCACACCTCTTTGGTAATGCCTGTCTAAAAGCCATGCCCGAGCCTGTCTCCTTGCCATCAGATTTTGCCTTTCACCCCAAAGGTTCCAGATGCCAGCCCTGCCTTTTCCCAGCCTCCTCATATCTGATACTGTGGTGCTAAGGGGAAGTTGGCTTAAGGACAACAGCTTTTCAATAGAAAGGTCTCCTGGGCAAAACAAGGAGACAGGCAAAGAGAGATCCCACCACGCCTTCAGATCTTGTCACGCAGGGCGCAATGACTAGGACCATGGCAGCCATCTTGTAAGCAGGAGGAGACAGCCAAGGCAACCACAGAAGATCTGCCCACAGAGCAGGAAAACACACCCCTGACTGCCTCAAGTGTTCTAAATATATGGGGGAAATTTTTATATCTTTTTTATTTTACTTTTAGTGAGTGCTAAGGGCTCTAGGTATCTGAAAGGTCCAATCACAACCAACAAGGCAGGGAGGAGCTGAGTATTAAATACAGGCACAGTGATCCCAAGCTGTTTGCTCTACTGCAAACCCACCATATGGACAAAGCACACACTCTAAACCTTACCATTCTATACAGCACTGAAGATGAGTAGCAGTGGCATCAAGCCGAGGCTCCTGGTCATCCTGGAGGAAGAAGAATGCTGGAGGCTCTGGAGGGCAGCCGCCACGAGGAGAAGAGATTGGCTGCTGTGATGGCCACAGCACCCAAACTCCTGTGTGGCCCAACCACAGAGGGTCCCTGGCGTCTGCTTTTCCCATCCCTGGACCATGGAGAGCAAGGCCACCAGAGAATTCCACCCACACTCAGGAGTCTCAAAATATTTACATTAGGGGAGCACAGGCTGAAAGTTTTACTTTGCAAATCACATTTCCTTCTCCCAACTTATAAAAGTTGCTGCAGCTTCCTGGGCCTGCAGCTCCCTCTGCCTGGTGCCTTGCAAGCCACATGCAGTTTGACCAATAAAGATTGAAAGGGCGGGTTTTGTCCTTGAGGGTAAAAACTACCTTACAGACAGCCATGGGTGTTTAAAAGGGATACAGGGAAGGGGGTGGGGGGTTGTGTTTTTTTCTAAAATACTAATTTAAGGAGCAAATCAACATCTATTATGTCCTTCATTATGTTTTAAATTGTACAACTATAAATCACTCCTTGTGGGTTATTCAAGGGCAGAATTGCCCGGCTTGGCTTCGTAGAAGGTTAGTAGAATGACATCTTGTGCTTTCTCTAGTTCTAATTTATAACTCTGCACCAGGCCCAGCATTTCAGGTCCATCCATTAGCAGGGTGGTTGCACATCTGTTAAAACTCAGCACAATGGCTGGCTTTACGGAGCCATGGGAAATGAAGCCCAGAGGTTTCAGAAGGTCTACACACCCAAGCCATTTTTTAATGCAAAGAGATTTGAAAACACAGCTCTCCAAAACATCTGCTAAGCTCCCGCTACCCTACCGCATGATATTCTTCCAACTGTTACCTGCCAACACAAATATTTGGTTGCACAAAACACCCTAAGAGGCACGGGACAGTGCTCTGCATCAAATTTACATGCTCGTCTGCAGAGGCTGGGGTGCTCCAGCCAAGGACCTCTGGCGAAGACTTTGTTTACCAGAGTTTACGGCTAATGTGGAAAAAAAAAAAAAAAGGAGGTTCAGAGGGGAGTAAATTTTATGAAGGTCTGTCAGACACTTTCAAAAGGAAATGGAGCTACACAATCGGATACATATGGCAGGGGATCTGGGGTACGTTTGATGGAGCAAATGAAGCCAGAAGGAGCTAGAGCAAGTTTTGAAAGCTGTTTCTTTACCAAGTTGAATAAGCACTAAGTTTGGTGTCTAATGCAAGATAGAGACAATAATTCCAACGTGACACCCCCCTCCACACACACACATTCCCCCACCCCCACCCCACCCCCCACCAGGGCATAGGTACACTCTGTTACACATCAACAGCGTCTGACCCATGCTGACAGTGGCTTCTTAGTTAAGAACATGGCAGGATAACAAAGTCATCACCCAGGTCGCACATTTCAACAGTCACCACTACCCTTGAAAGCCTGTTTTGTTAACAACAGAACCAAGGGCAGATTTGTGATCTCAAGGCCAGAGAGTTATATATATATACACACATACATACACACACACATACACACACACACAGAGTAAACCACCTCATTCACAATGTGCTTTTGACCAAGTGCTACAAACAAATAGGTGGACAAAGAGACAGGAGATAGATAGATAGATAGATAGATAGATAGATAGATAGATAGATAGATAGATAGATAGATAGATAGATAGATATAGATAGATAGATAGATAGATAGAATTTCACACATAAAAAATATTGAAATTTCCACAGGATATCACAAAGCTCAATGGATGAGGAAAAGTTCAGTTAGAACTAGTTTATCAACGTTCATGTTTAAATCCTCTAGGTTTTTCCCTAACTTTCATTCTGTGAAAATCACCCTCCCCCCAAAGTCAGTGCCCTCAAATCAAAGTAAAGGTGAATGTACCTAACTGAAGTTAGAAAGCAGAAATTTTATCTTTAGAGGTTGAGCAGTAATGTGGGCAAAATGAGTTAAGTATCTGGATCAGGGGTTGTTTCTTTACAATGGATGTCTACCTGGAGCTATACACCCATGATACCCAGGGTCTATTGCATAATTATAATACACACTCTAACATACACAAACATATGCAAAATATAATTTTAGTATATGTGAATTGCATAAGAGGAGATAAGAAGGAAAGTAAACATATAATATGCCTATATTGCAAGAAAGCTATCAGCAAACTTCCTTTTTTCCTTTTTCTTTGTTGGTTGTGGGGTTTGAACTCTGGGCCTGGGCACTGTCCCTCAACTCTTCAGCTCAAGGCTAGAGTTCTACCACTTGAGCTACAGCGCCATTTCCAGTTTTCTGGTGGTTTATTGGAGATAAGAATCTCACAGACTTTCCTGCCTAGGCTGGCTTTGAACCAAGATTCCCAGATCTCAACCTCCTGAGTACTGAGGATTACAGGCATCAGCCACTGGCTCCTGGCTGCTATCAGCAAACTTTCATTTCCCTTAAGGTATTTCAAGAACAGTTGTTTGAACACTCCTGAAGTTTTGATTAAGCACTGTAAAATAACTCTATTCCAATTTTGTGTATTATTTCTATTTTTATAAATTGGAGAGACAAGGAGTAAGCACTTCTTTCCTGGGATTCTCCAGTATTTACACCTGTCTCTTCTTATGGACCCCCATGGGGAAAAGGGCGCTAGAGGTAAGACTTTACCAGTAGGGGTCGCTGTGCTAAGAATTAATCCCTGTGTTTCTCATTAGTGATTATTATACTGCAGGCGGCCAAAATGCAAAAATTAATTAATTTCAAAGTGATAATGCATTTACAGCAACAATTAGAAATGTATAACTGTAAAGAGGCAACATTTAAAAGACAGATTACATTTAATAAAGTTGCACAAGAACACCCAATTGTAAAATTACTGATCTGCAACAATATTCCTTAAAGAGCCACTTAAAATAGCCTGACTCCATGAAGGGTGACCTAATTACTGTAACTAAAATCACCACAGTCACAGCAAGTCACAGCAAATAAAAAAGGGACGTTGATATTAGAATACTGCTGTTTAATGCTTAGGGGAGCTGGCCACAGTAGAGACGGAAAGAGGGCTGTGCTATAGCTCCTCCCCCAGCCACACACAATGGGATGCACACTTCAGTAACATCCATGTCAAAAATAAAACACAAAGCACACACTGGGCACTAGCCATCCACGCATCAGGAGATTACCTCTATGTGAAACTTCTTACCCATGTTTAAGACCTGACATTTTACATGGGATGGGGATGGGATTACTGCCACATGGTTTGTCTCTCAATATATGCTTACATGGAAATGGCAAGCCACATATGGAAGGAAGCACATGAGGAAAATCTCTTGCCTGCATCCAGCCTAAATTGCTAGGATGGGAGAATAATTTAATTAACAATCATCAAAAATAAGAAGGCTTCTATTCAACTTCATGATCATTTTCCAGCTCTGACCACAATCATGCGATTCATCCACAAGATTCACCTTCAGGAACATGAAACCACACTCTGGCCACAGAATTTTCTCTAGCCAAATGCAACACCAAACTCTCCACCCAGAGAAGAATCTAGAAGAGCTCATAGATTCTTAGTGAACACAAAGGAATCACATCTGCTAACAGTTGGAAGTCACACATGGTTTCCTTGTATGTGTGCATGTGTGTATGTGTCTGTGTGTATGTCTCTGTGTGTGTAACATAAAATGCACTTTTTGAATGCTGTAAGAAAACCCTCAATGAGGATTTTCCAAGTTCCTGAATTAAAAAATAAAAACCTATAGCAAAAGGAAATAAATCATTTCAATCAACACTTCATGAAATACTAAAAACAGCACATTTTCTATCCAGCCACTGACAGAATCAATATGCAGTTGATGGGCAGGTGCTCCAGAACCCTTCCCAAGGACTGGCATAGGCCTGGTGAGGGTACAGATGAGATCAGAGTCATTCTGACAGGCGGCGAGAGGAAGAAGTAGATGTGTACCCCTGGGTATCACCAAGACCTTCCTGAATGGCAGAATGAAGATGTTTGCAGCGCCAGAAGCTATCCACTTACCATGGACTTGGTGAAAGGTCTCGCCAAGGTGAACAGAAGTGTGTACAGCCACCAGCTGCGATGAATGGAGGAGTACATCATATTTCCAGGATGCACTGCATTCGATGTGACCCCACGCGGGGAGAGGCGACGATGCAGCTCGTTGGAGAAGAGAATATTGCAGAGTTTGGAGCGGTTGTAAGCCAGCATGGCCCAGTAGTCATTTTGTGATGGGGACAGGCGGCTAAAGTCGAGTTGTCCTGAGGAATCACTAATATCTGTAAATCTAAAATAATAATAAATATATATGTGAAAAACAATATTAAGCAACTCAGCTCTGCATTCTCATGTAACCTTTTATTTTTATTAGAAATTGGAAGAAATAATACAGAAACTAAGGAAAACACAGTTACGTATACATGAAAACCATGTCCCTTAGAAACAAATAATGGCAACTTGACAACGTAAAGCATTGGAGAATAATGTAAGCTCAGACTACTGATAAATAATAAGATCAGACTACTCATCAATACAGTAATCTAAGCACTCTGAACACCTCCCTACCCCTTGAATATATTTTCTAAAACCTTCAAGCAGAAGTTCATAGATAATTCAATTAAATGGAGAAGCATTTTAAATAAAGGACTGCTGCTTTTGGAAACAGAAAGATTTCACATTCCAAACCCTTAACAGGGCTTTTGCCTGAATGATCTTAGCCGATGCTTGAGCCCAGTGCATTTTCACTTGAGCATCTGAGAAAATATAGACAAGCCATGCGGCCTCCAAGACTCTTTTCTAGATTAAAAATTAATGATTATAAAAGGGTTATAACCTTGTTGAGGTGCCATCAATAGTCTTCTACGTTTAAAAGATAAATGTAAACAAAGCCAAAATGAGTTCTGCCAGAGTCTACTGTTTTTAAGTAGACCCATGGCATGAAGACACACAAATCAAAGTAACTAGTTGATGTTTTATAATTGGGTCTGATGGAGTCGTTAAACACCAGCTGTTGGTTTCTCTTCTTCCTTCTTTCCTTTCTCTTTCTTTCTTATAAAAATATTATAATTGCCTTGAAAAAGAGAACTGGATCATAACAAAGGGAAGGAATTTCCTAGATGGGCTCATTTTTGGTTTAGGAAACCTCAAGTTTTGCTTTACTACATTCATTAATGACAATATCCCCAGTAACTGCCAGAAAAACTCAAAAAAAGTAATAGGGAAACTAAAATTGTAGAGCCTTGTTTGGGGTTTTGTTTTGTTTTTTGTTTGTTTTTTTAGAGGAGTAGTTCAAGTTGGGCATTTAAAAAATAAGGAAAGCACCAGAAGAAACAGATGACATTCATGTTTTAGTAAAAATGAAATAGTCCTTGTTCGGGACTCAGCGAGTAATATCCAGTTTCTAGTGTTAAATAACTGTGGTGATTGGAAATTACCAACAAAGCCAATGGACAGAAATGTCATCGAGGAAACCTAACGTCTCCCAAACATAGGGAGAGCCTAGACTTTTCAGCTTCATTTGCCTAAGGTAGTGGAACTTAATGGGAAACTGGGAAATTTCTGAGGGCCTTTGTCTGGTAGAGACAAAGATTGCCAGTGGGGAACCAGGGACAATGGGTGGCCTGCACAGCAGGCAAAGCATTGCTCCATGGATGTTCATGCAAACGTAAAACCTGTGGCCAATTATCTGAGCCGCCAACCGAACCATGCAGCACATGTATACAGCACTGACATCCACTGGATCCCCAGGACTGTAATGAGAACAAATGCATTCTCAGATTCACTGGAGGAAGAGGGTGAGACCTGTAGTGCAAGACTTCATCGGCTGTGGAGTCTGCAATGCCACACACCTGTTGACAGTATGTATTTGCCAGGGTCACCACCAAGTGATTGATGCGTGAATTCACGTATGTGATTATCTTTCCTGTAGTACTGGACAGGCACTTCCGTGTTGAAATACATGCTATTTGTTTCCCATTGATTTTTTTCTTTGTATTACAGTTAGGCCATCATATTGTATTAAAAATATGTTTGCACCTCAAAGTTATATTATTTGTGAACTTGACTTCAACATAGTAATAAGGTGTTGCAGAAGGGCAGTCACAAAAACAAATAGGATCACTGAGTTAGAAACACAAAGGTTTAAGAGAGGGCTGGGAATGTGGCTTAGTGGCAGAGTGCTTGCCTAGCATGCATGAAGCCCTGGATTCCATTCCTCAGTACCACATAAACAAAAAAAAGCCAGAAGTGGCACCATGACTCAAGTGGTACAGTGACAAACTTGAGCAAAAGAAGCTCAGGGACAGAACCCAGACCCTGAGTTCAAGTCCCAGGACTGACAAAACACACACACACACACACACACACACACACACACACACACACACAGAGAAAGATTTAGGGAGGGAATCCAATGCAAAACCTCTGGCCACTCATGATACAAAAGAACATGAAGGATTTGACAATATCAAAAAGGTATGGGGCCAGGCATTAGGGGCCCATGCCTATAATCCTAGCTACTTAGGAGGATAAAATCTGAGGACTGCAATTCAAAGCCAGCCAGGACAGGAAGGTGCGTTAATCTCCCAATTAACTATCCAAAAAAGCCAGAAGTGGAGCTGTGGCTCAAGTGATAGAAGGGTAGCCTCAAACAAAAAGCTTAGAGACAAGGGATAGCACCAAGGCCCTGACTTCCAGCCCCAGGACTGGTAGAAAGAGAAAAGGGAAAGGAAGGAGATGGGGAAAGGGTAGGGGAAGGGGAAGGGAGGAAGGGAGGAAGGGAGGAAGGGAGGAAAGGAGGAAGGGAGGAAGGGAGGCAGGGAGGAAGGGAGGAAGGAAGGAAGGAAGGAAGGAGGGAGGAAGGGAAGGAAGGAAGGAAGGAAGGAAGGAAAGAAGGAAGGAAGGAAGGAAGGAAGGAAGGAGGGAATGAGGGAACGAGGGAGGAAGGGAACGAGGGAGGGAGGGAAAAAGAAAAAAAGAAAAAGGAGGGATAAGATAACTCTCCTAACACCCTGCAGTCTTCTCAGATGCTTCTTTCCCAAACTGCTATTGGAAAGCTTTCATGACATAACTACTCCGTTCAGACTCAGGGACACTTCCACCAGAAAGTTCTCCCTGAGTCACAGTAATTTCTTAGTGGGGACGGACAGATTGAGAGATTAGACTACATGTTTCCCTGGAAGTGAAACATCCACTATTCAGGACCCAGCCTATGACATGGCCCCTAGATTTCAATGAGATACACCACCCTTCCAATGTCAGTACATAGCTAGTGGTGCCATCATTGTGATTCATTGTCCATTGTCCTTCGGTCCTTGCCACACCAGCCTGCAAGTCATGGGTTTCCCTGGTAGACTGAGTATCTGGAGAGCAGACTGTGAGGCTCATGCATGCTTTGGACCATAGTGTAAATCAGACTAGTTGTGGGGTTTAGATAAAATTTAGTACTTAGCTTAAATCCTCTAAGTTCTACATGAATGTCTGCATGGAGTGCTTTCTAATATGGAAAACTAGTTCTTGGAAGTAGAGCTGTGTCTCAAATGGTAAAATATCAGCCTTGAGTGAAAAAGCCAAATGAGTACAAGGCCCTGAGTTCAAGCCCTAGTACTGGCACATTTTTTTAATGAGCTCCCTGCTTTACCTTTAGGTATGTTGTAACAGTATTTTAAAAGATCTGTTCTTTCATGCTGTGGATGAAATCTGGAGACCCGTGCTTGCTAGGTGAGTGCTCTACCTTGGAACCGCAGTCCCAATAAAACCTCTAGGTGGAAAAAAAGGCATTCTTTCCCTTAACCTAGCATAGGCACAAGGTCCCCAAAGTGCCTTGCTGAGACACTGGACGGAACAGGTCCCAGGACAGTTTCAGGATGGAGCAGCACAAGCTGTGAAGCCGCAGGCCTCCTTTCACAGACAACTGCTCAACCCACAACCAGGACCTTGACTTCCTTGACTGTCTGATTAGCCCACACAGACAGCCGTCAAGAAGTGGAAGAGTGAACCAGCTGCCTGAGCCCACAAGCCAGGCTGGGCTTCCTGAGAAATGACTGGCTTACCTCTCAGCTCACGAAGCAAAAAAGTCCAATCTCAAAAGGCTGGCTACTCTGCCTGGAAATCATATAAAGCCAAATGATAAGGATTGTATAGAAACATACCTTGCTGATAAATAACATTAACATTTGCTCTCTGGACATTACCATTTGCTTTGTGAGAAGGACTTTTATATTTCTATAATACTGCTTGTATTCTTAACAGAACATGTTTTTTGAATTCTCAGACTAATTAGGATAGATTCTATATTGGTAACAACAAGTATGTTTAAAGACAAGAACTGAGAAAAACTGTGTGTGTGGTATGTGTAGTTGTGGTGTATGCCACTGAGCTCATGTAGGTATGTGTGTGATTGTGTTGGGTGTGATGTGATATGTACTTGTCATATGGTCATGTGTGTGACTGTGAGTGTGACTGTGTGTGGGTATGTGTATGATGATGTGTATGCTTATACACCTGTCAGTTTGCCACTCAACACAGCTACAGCCATTCAGAGTCGGGTAACCAGCTCTTGGTTCATTCCATTCCATTTTAATTGTTATCTGAAAAATCCTCAAAGCAAGGAAGTCAAATCCCCATTTCCTATGATACACTTTGGATAGGCAGAAGCTCAATTCACTTGCTCAGCCTCCACGTAAGTAACTACAGCACAGTGAAGACACAGGGAGCCTAATAAGTATTTTGCCTTGGGGCAGTCTAGTATGATATTTTCTGCAAACATAGGACTTTATTTTTCCCCTAACAGGGGGTCTTGACTCCAACGAAGAGCTTCCACCAAAGTTTATGGAGGTAATTAGATACCAACACTTGCGTTTTACAATGTGGTTTAGGGCTCTGGGTCCTTGAGTAGCAAACAAGTACAAGCTACCTGTGCAACAACAATCCTTAGACAAACATCTCTGGTCTGAGAGAAGCAGCACAAACATATTAACCAGCCCAACTTGAGAGAATTCACGTTTTGTAAAAATTACCCTTCGCTAATATGACAACTCTAACGAGAAAGCGAAACAGGAGCAGGCCTGACCAAATACTGCAGAAAGTCTTGCCCACAAAGGAAAAGGATCTCATTCAGGAGGCCACGGCCCTTCTTTCCAAATTCATCTTTTAAATGAAAGTAAGATTGGGATCTCTAAGGTAGCCAGGAATTACACCATGGTGAAGGAGAGAACAAAGACGTCACATGAAACAGCATTTGGAACACAGATTTACAAAGGTAGGGGAGGTAGCGGGGAGGAGGTGGGAAGCTGACAACTCCACATAATCTCCCATTAAATACCGGTTCATTTAAACATATCCCGTGGTGCCCTCCACATCTGGCTAGCGATTGGGGCTGGCAGATTTATTTCCAGAGCTTTCTCCCCTGCTTGCCCCCACGGTAGCCTCCCTCACTCATTTGCAGGGCCACTCTTACTTTCTCTCACAAACCTGGTGTGATTTGCAAAGATAAGGCAGTCCGGATTTCGTAACCACCTAATTACGAGATGTTTCATGTCTTTTCACACGGGGGAGGATTATTGCGGCATTTTCCTTTCATTTCAGCCATCATAAATTTAAAATGGTGAGAGTAAATCTGTCTGCAATGTGTCACTTACACTGTAAGCCCCTGTGTTTGGGGGTGATAAAAGCTTCAAGCTAACCCTTGGCTGGTCTCTCTCTTCCAGCCCCCATGGGTTACATTTTATGGAAGTATGATTAAAAAAATAAGCTTCATTCTGGGTGACTAAAACATTTCAGGATTTAGGATAGAGAAGAAGGGGGGAAAATAGGCCTTTGCACATTTCTTTCTAGCCACTCTGCTAAAGGTGCAAGCCTGCCCCTACTCCAAACTCCAAGCAAACGGGAAAGAGAAATTGCCTGAACAAGAATGCATTCTGGCCTTGCCCACCCAGCAAATCCTTTGTCTCTTCTTTAAACAAATAATTGTTTCTCCAACTCCAGAAACAAATACACTAAAAATGCCGAGAAAATTTTCACATGTCTTCTTAGCCAATTGAATATTCTGCTAATGATAATCTGAAAGAAGTGCCATCTGATGTTTTAATTGAAATTTTAACCAAAAGAGGCATGGCCAGGTTTCTAATATGTTCTAACTACAGTACATTCCCTTCCTACAATTACACAGCTAATGTCTGCATTGAATTCCCTAATTTCTCATTATAAAACAATTGGATTTCATCTCAGTCTTTAATTGCATTGTTTCTTCAGCTAGAATAACGGCACATTCTTCGTGGGAAGACTTTGAAGTTGTTGAATTACAAATCAATAAAGGTCATGCCATTCAGATTTGATCAATTATTATTCCATCTCCAGGCAAAATCAATGAGGAGTTTGAAGTATGGTTCTAAAACCACCCTTTATTGGTACAGACCATCCCTCCCAAACAGTCCCCCCTCAATCATACACACAGAAAGACCTAGAAAAGTTAAGGAAGCCAGTTGGCATGACTCACGCTGAATCAAAATTATTTTCCATCAGAGCCTTCATGGAATTTTAGACAAAGTGAGAAAAGGGACAGGTAATAACCATCAGCTTCAAACCCACCTATGGGACTCGGAGGAGACCATGACAACACGGGCAGGGGCCGAGCGGCACAGGACATCCTGCAGGAGTTGGACCAGGTAGAAATGCCCCAGGTGATTCACTTGGAAGGTGGTCTCCAGCCCATCCTTTGTGAGGCTCCAGGGCAGAGCAAAGACAGCTGCATTGCACACGAGCACGTGGAGAGAGCTGAGAAAGAAAACATGCAACATCACACAGAGGATGTCCACACCATAAAAAGTCAAAGCCAACCCCACTCCCCCTTAGGAATGACCAGTCCTTCATAGTCCTCGTAATTCCACTCATTTAGCAATAAGAAATCCAAGAGCGTGAAACGCTCATCATTCCCAGTGGGAAAGTATACTGTGATGCTGGGAACAAGGACTTCCTGGATGTAGGACCTGCAGGATGATAGCAAGCACATCAGGAGAACCAGCTATACTAGCTAGAACCCAGCTTACACCATATGCACACGTGGAAACATTGCTGTGAAAGGCTTTGTCTACGTCTACACCAATGGAAAAGGAGAAATTGAACCAGGTTTCTTTTGAACATTTCCTGTGGTCAGGATTGTCGAGGTGCTCTCTGGCAGCAGTCTTCGTTCACATCAGGGGTCCAACCACCACTGTGAAGTCAGTCGCTCAGGGATCCTGTCACTCTCCAAGGGGCTGAGCTACCCACAGTGCTCATCTGGTCCTATCTCCAATCCAAGCAGGACCCTACTGACTTACAAGTCAGTCATCAGCTAGGATAACCCAAGCAACACAGTAAAGCAGAAAGAGCCCCTAGAAAAAGCACTGGTAGAGAATAATGCAAAGTATAGGCAAATATATTACAACTTGAGATCTTTTTAGAATGCATCACAAATACCTGGTTCACTCTCAAGATCTTGGGTCTTTTTTCTTTTTTCATTTTGGTTTCTTGCTTGCTTTCTTATTCAGTGTAAACTATTGGTTAGAAACTTGCTTAAAGCTTTGGGTACTAAACTCATATAATTTTCTTCTTTTTTTTGGTGGGGGGGCCCAGTTGTGGTGCCTTAACTCTGGGCCTGGGCGCGCTCTTCAGCTCAAGGCTAGCGCTCTACCACTTGAGCCACAGTGCCACTTCCGGCTTTTTTCTTTTTGCTTATGTGGTGCTGAGGAATCGAACCCAGGGCCTCAGGCATGCAAGGCAAGCGCTCTACCACTGAGCCACCTTCCCAGCCCTCATATAATTTTCATAACAACAATCTTGTCAAAAAAAAAGAGAAGGTTGGGGTACTAGTATCCAGTAGATACTCATTAGAAACTATGTTGAAAATGGACTATACAACTTGCAGGTAGTGATGGGAAGAAAACACCAGGAGAAAGCAAGTGAAGGAGTGACATTATCCAAAAAGAAACATACTCTTTACCTGACTGTGACCCCTCTGTACATCGCCCTTATAATAACAATAAAGAAATTTTTTTAAATTAATTCTTATGGTCAGATACTAACTCTCAGAAAGTCCAAAGTAAATAAATAAGCAAACAAATTCATAAAAAACAAATAAAAGGTTCCTCGGACTTCAAGCCTTTCGTGGATAGCCAAATCGCAATGGGTAAAAGCCAAGTGCTGAAATTGGAGCTCAGTGCTTGTACTTTTCTTACCTGACACAAGTCAATCAGTGAGCCCCAGGCTCTTGCCCTGTGACCTTGTGCAGCACAGCGCCCCTCCCCCCCAACAGAGTTCAGGCTAAGCAAAGTCCTACACCTCCCTGGCCTTCTGGGTTAAATCATTACTACTTCCTTTATCTCTACACCCTCCCCTTGCAATCACAGGAGAAAAATTAAACTCTTCAAAGCTGGTTTCTACAAGCATTCTATTTCTTTAAGACAGGCCTGGACATTGAGAACTTGGACATTAACACCTTTTCAATAACAGCTCCTCCTCTTTTATTCATGCTGGTGCTGCCTAAGGGAAACAGAAATCCACAGAAGACCTGAGCCTGGAGGCGGGGACCCAGGAGAACCTGGGAACACTTCCTCTCTCCCAGTCTTAATACCCTTCATTAATGTTAATTGCCAAATACCAGAGGTAAAATATGTACTCGGCACCTAGAGCGTGTCACCTCTATTAATTAAAAACAGGCTTATGCAATATGAAACTATAAAGTGCTTGACTTTTTTTTTAATTGCAAAGACACCTAATTGGCTTGTACAAAAGGAAAAGAATTCCTTTAGCCACACTCTAATGAGGTTTTTATTATTCAAATAGCACATTTTCCTCTCCCCCCCTCCCTTCCACACACTAAAAAGCCATCGCAATTCAAAGGGGTCTGAAATGATGAATATTTACAGACTATCAAAAGAAAAGTTCAAACTAGAAAGGCAGAAAGGAAACAAAAACAGGAGCATTCCAACAGGAGCTCTGGTTAGACAGCCCTTTCTGAGACTTAGTTTTGTTCTTGGGTAGAGTCAGAATTGAGAAGGGGTATGGCGGAAAGGGGAGGAGATGACTGGACTGGAAAGGTGGTCAGTCCTCTAGACATGAAAACCGAGATCCCAATAGAAAGAAGCTTGTATGTTTTTAAGGCTGCCTCTCCTGACAGGGGCTGGGGTCCTGGGATATAGTACTTGTCTGAATGGATACATAGCAATCTGTAATGTGGTCTATCAACCATTACATAGCTATGTTTTGTGGCTATGTGTTATTATGTATGAAGAAATGACTTCAGGAGGAAAGGAAAGTGGACTTGGTATTATTTTGTCAATAATATCAGCCATTTATGCTTTGAAGACAAGACCCACCTATTATGACTCAAGGAACCGAAGATTTGGATAATTATAAGCTTGAGAAGAAGTATGCTTTAAAAGAGCCTCAGAATACATAATGAGGAGAAAATTTTCCATAGATGACATATATCCAAGAAAATAATATACATATATATATATATATGAATTCAGCAATACATGAATTCTCCACATCTTTATGAACATTTTCATAGCATACTACTAAGCATAGAGTGATGTCACATTGCGGGTTTTTTCCTTTGTTTTTAGTATTTTTTTTGTCAGTCGTGGGTCTTGAACTTGGGGTCTGAGCACTGTCCCTGAGCTTTTTTTGCTCAAGGCTAGTATTCTACCACTTTGAGGCACAGCACCACTTCCAATTTTCTGGTGGCTAATTGGAGATTGGAGTCTCATAGATGTTCCTTCCCTGGCTAGCTTTCAACCACAATCCTAAAATCTCAGCCTCCTGAGTAGATAGGATTAAAAGTCTGAGCCACCAGCACCAGGGACATTGTGGTTTTTAATTTGAATTCTCTAAAGCTGAGCATTGTTTCATATGTTGGTTGGCCATTTTTATGTCTCTTTTGGAGAAGCATCTATTACAGTCCTTAGCCAACATTCTTAAATTGGTTTTTGTTTTAAGTTGTAAGAAATCCTTATATGTTCTGGATTAATAAATGTATAAGATAGATGATTTAAAAATAAATAAATAAATAAAAGAGCATCAGAGGGCATGGAAGACGGCTCAGTGGTAGAGTGCTTGCCTTGCATGCATGAGGCCCTGGGTTCAATTCCTCAGCACCACATATGCAGAAAAAGCCAGAAGTGGTGCTATGGCTCAAATGGTAGAGTGCTAGCCTTGAGCTGAAGAGCTGAGGGACAGTGCCCAGGCCCAGAGTTCAGATCCCACGACCGACCAAAAAAAAAAAAAAACAAGACAAAGAGCATCAGAGCCACTACGGTTGGGACCAAGTCATAATGAAGATTTGTAAATGCTACCCTAAAATGAGTTAGGACTTTTGGGGTTAAATAAGCATGTTACTGAACGTTAAGACAATAGTGAGTTTGGGGGATTTCATTCAGACCCAGAAAAAGAGTAACTAAGGTAGAATTCTACCCAAGCAGAATACTTTCCAATTCCCCTTGAAACAGGATGTAGCCCGATCTGGGCCCTTGCCTAAGTAAGTTGCCAAAAATATATGCATTGTCCAGAGATGCTCAAGAAATTCATTGCCAGGGCCTAAGGACCTACTCATACTCCCATGAGAAAATGGTTTCTTGATCTTACTTGATACTTGGCAGCATTTTCTCCCAGAAAAGTGAGGATAACAATCCTGTAGAATCCTAAGGTGAACCTCTAGTTTTAATGCCTGGGGCTGGTATAGTATGAATTCACGGATGGTAATACCAACAGCTTATAGCAATTCTACAGCTAACTCAAGCCTGCTCATGGCTCTCCAACCCACCAAAGACCCAGTGAGCGGAGAGACTTCAGTACACTGCAGTGATTCAGTCATATGCAGCAAGCTTTTAAAGAAGTTACTTATACTCTACAATAAGTTGGACAACCATACATAATAATAACAATACATTATAATAATAATAATTCCAACCTTGCTTATACACTGTGAGAATGTCAAAAAGTACATGAAGTACTCGACATCAACCTTTAAAGAGGTGACATCTAAAACTGCTTTTTGTTTAGGTACATCATTTCTATACCTTGAGACACTACTTTGGGAATCTGGTATTGGCCAGTAATGCTGAGACATAACATACGTAGGACTTCTGTCTGTCCACCACGATTAGAAAATACCTATAGATTATTTTCCAAGCCCTTACTCAGTCTCTCTAGAAGAGAGCTCCCTGAATAAATAGACAAGAAAAAAGAAAGAAAGAAAAGGACAGAACACAAGTGAGAAGAAAAATCAAGGCAGAAGATCATGATCAGCCTGGTTGGCCACCAGCCACCAGCTCTGCTTTGAAACCTGAAAGGTCCTAGAATGTTGAGAATTTGATAAACACCATCCAGTATTAAAATAACAATTAACCAGGATTAACCAGGAGTGAATTTAGCTGTCAAGATAACCTAGCCACACTTAATTAATTTTTTTCTGTATTTCAGCTAGGATAGAGAAAATAATGCAAAACAATCACCAAGAGTAAAGCACAGCTCTCTCTGTATCCCCTGGAGACCACCAAGAATTTTTCATTTCATGCACCATTTACAACTTCTTATAGTAGATTCCGGAACATCAGTATATACACTTAACGGAAAATGGAAACACTCTCGGGTTTTTTTGTTGTTGTTATTTTCTTAAATTTTTGTCTCCCGTCCATTATCTTGATTATATTTTCCCATCCCATCATGCTTAAACCCAGCAGCAAAATCTCAACCTCATTGATTCTAAATGGGGGGAAATGTACAACCAAGATACA